TTTGAAGTAGACAGTTCTTTTAAGCTAACAATAATATGAAGTTTAAAGGTTTGAATTCTGAACTGGATGAGGGCAAATAATGATTAGCTATCATAAAATTCAGAACGTTGATTGCAAGTCAGGCTAAGGAAATTCGTATCTTATGACAAGGTGCAGTTAAGTCAAAAAACCATCGATCAAGTATTTCTGTCATGTAAATTTAATTTTCTGATTACTACATAAGCGTTATTATATTATTTTTAAAAACTACATATTCTCGACGTTACTTTTACTTTTCACCAACCGTGATAACGGTAAACATCTTTTCGACCATTAAAAATAATAAAATACTCGTAGTAATCGGAAAAATAATAGTTTCATTCAAATATTATTATTAAAATTCACAATGTGATCACTTTATGACACCATAATCTTAATCTTTTGACAGTAAATACTAGTTACCTAAGTAACTTTCTAATTTACTAGAAGTTACCTAAGTAGATTCTTAGGTAAGTATCTTTCATTACCTTAATATCATTGAACATAACGCTTGTTTCAACAATCCTTTCATCCACAACATCTCTGTCCTGTATCAGTCGGTGTCTCATGGCTGAGATGACTGTGTTGTTACAGTTTGGTTGTTTTGTACAACCATCATGTACGTTGGATCTTAGGAGGGCCGAAGAATTCTTACTGAAAATTTATTGTATTTATATATATAGGAAACTTTGAAGTAGCAGTTGTATTAGCTATTAATATGTTTATTAATACTAGGTATGTTGAGTGTTAATAAATAAGTTTACTCATTCAATTAGTTCACACTAAAAGTCCTGCATTGTATTGACTTTTAAAAAAGTCTATGAAGTCTATCATATTGGTAGAACCGTAATTAACGAATTTTTAACTAAATTCACTATTTTGGAAAGTTAATTATTATATTCTAATTGAAGTAGAGCATTTCTGTTACCCTATCGCATGTAGCATTACGGCCAGCAAGGGGGGCAACTTACTAATTATCATAAAATATTTTAGTTACTGGCTACCAGGCGAAACAATTTATATTGTTTTTTGTGGTTATAGGAAAACGTAATAATTATTTTCAAGAACTTTTCTAACATTGTGTCATTAAATAATTTTTATATAATATATTGATAAATAATTGTACGTAGGTTTAAAATAATTCCTTTTGTACTAAGACAAAAAAAATATTAATATATTATAAATTACACTCAAATCATACTTACTATTGCATCAATTCATTTTCCTTTCTTTTATATTCCTCAGTTATATTTTCTTTCAACTGGCTATACCTCTACTCATCAATTCATTATAAGTCTTAACATATAACAACACATCTGTACTATTTACTCCAAGTATTGAAGACAAACTTTGTACTAAAATGTTTAGTTTTTGTAGATTTCTTTCAACATTTTCCTGTTCTTTGCATATATCAGTCATTGATTTCTGAAAAATTATAAATTACATACTTATATGTCAAGAAAATAAATATGCAAAAAATTAAAATCATGCATCAGAATTATTCAAAAAACTTAAAAACATATCAGAAATTTAAGAAAGTAGGTCCAAATAAAATTATAATTCTTTTAATTAATTTTTATAAAATAAAATCTTGACATACTTTACTATATATGTGGTTAAGTTTAACTAGATGGCAACACTAAACCGTTTTAGATTGATCCTAAAACAAATTATACCTATGCTTTTATATGATAATCCTTATTAAAAATAAAGTGTTTATCCAAATTATGAATTTGGATGAATCAATTAATAACGAACACAATACAAACTATATGCAGACAAAACCTCTTTAGAATTCAATGTATTTACCGTGCGGGTGCCAGGTCCATCGTTGTAGTGAGAGGAGCTTCAACAGTGTCTCTGACTTGCGACCCAGATGTAGGTTTAGAGGGTCCCTATCTAACGCGCGTTAAACGCTCACCTCCACTGTCCAAGCTCCTCTCTCTACCTAACCAAATTTGAAAAGAACCTACAAGGACTGCCTTCGAAGTACGATCCAGGAATGAGTTAATGTGAGTTCTGGACAGGCCCAAGTCATTTAGTAGGTAGTAGCCCTAGTAGGGCTGCCTTATAAAACACATATACTCACGATTCTATCAGCCACTATTTCGCTCTCCTGTATCACATACAGGAAGTCTTCCATAGTACGTAGCTCCCTTCTTAATGCGTAGTGCACGAGACGATCTAACGTTACAGCCTGCTGACATACATCCACTAGGCATGATAGGTCTTTGTAGATTTGTCTGGAAAATAATACAAAATTCATTACTAACTTTATTCATTACTGTTGTGTTTTTAATCCCCGACGCAAAAACTACAGGGTTATAAGTTTGACGTGTCTATGTGTCTGTGTGTGTGTGTGTATATTTCTGTCTGATGTAACGTAGCTCCCAAACGGATGAGCCGATTTTAATGCGGTTTTTTTGTTTGAAAGGTATATCCGTTGAGTGTTCTTAGCTTTTTTTTAGAAATCGATTCATCAATCGATTCGCGTTTGTTAGGCGTGATAGGAATATTTCGTCCTATCCAGAATAGAATAAAACGAACTCGTCAGGTACTAAAAAATGCAATCTGTTTTTCTAGATGTTGTTCATTTACGCTACTAATTTGTTGAAACTTCTTTGTTGGAGCAATATAAATGTACAGGATGTTGTCCGTTTTACAATCTGAATTCTTAAAATGCTTTATACCTTGTTATATTAAGCCAGTAGAGAATTTACCGAAATTAACATAAAGCCCGCAGCAGACAAATTATGTAATAAGAAGTTTATTTACTTTAAAGAAATTTTACTTTGAAAGTTTTAAGTCCATTGTTTATTTACGCTAAAATAATTTTGTTTGTTTTTCGATAAAATGTATCTAAATTATAAGTAAATTTTTCACAAATTCACAAATATTGTCTTAAAACAAACCAATAAGATTTCAACAAAGAAGGATTCAAATTAATTTTATCCATTATTTTATTATTAAGTTTTGTTTGTAAAAAGATAGGTTAGTTTTAACCCTATCCATAACATTATGAGAGATTCTATTTCAAGTCAGAGAATGTTGTTAAGTATGTTTCTTAAGCCAAATTGAATTTAGATTTAGTTCCTTAGTTCCCAAATTGTCTTATAGTCAAACAGAATATTATATTTATAGGTGGACTTGAAAGCAATAAATTGCAATTCGATTTCAAGCCAGATGCTATTACAACTGTCCCCGATCTTTTTGTAGTGACAATTGTTCCTAAATATGTTTTTTCTTACGCTATGACTTCTACTCATTGGAATTGTTAAATATTTCTCCAATATCAACGTTTTTATTTGTTGAACGAATTATAATCTTGAAAACTGTTTGTAGAAGGTGTCTTTCAAACGGAATAAAGGCGTTTATCTAATGATATATATAATTTTAAACTTAATACGGAATCATTTCAATGAAAGTGTGGGAGGTCGTAAAGTTTTTTATTCTTTTCTCTCGTGACAGCTGCCTGCCAAATTCATAATACTGGGTCAACGGGAACATCCAAATAGGTTTTATATTGCCAGCGTCAAATATGAGATATAAACGGAGCATAAATTTGACCGCCCCAAAGTAGATCATTCTCCTTGCCGCAGACATTTTTGAATATATGTAATAATAATTAATCATTTATAAGCCTCTAGTAACGATTACGGACACTTATTTCTTACCTAAATTTGTTAAATCAAATCCATTAGTAACATTAAGAACTGAGTTTAAAATTAATACTTCTTGACAGATTAAGATACATAGTTTAATTTCTGTAGCTAATATAAGCTGTGACGTAAAACGCAATATTTTAAATGTCATTTCCAGTCACATTTCCAGATGTAACGTTTACTTAAAATTTTAATAATGTTTTCAAATTAGTTACAAAATAGTATAAGGTAGGTATAAATATTATGATTAAAGTTTTGTTCCACAAATAAAAGAACTGTTTTCATTTAGAACGACGAAGTAGCAAAGATGGGGCATTATTTTTATGAATTTAAATTAGATATGGTCCTTAGTTTAACAAGGATTTCTAATAATGAAATGAGTAACATTTGCAATACTAAAAGGTAAAGTTACATATTTATGCATACTGAAACGAACTCGTCGGGTTTGATATGATACACTAAACTTTGTTCAAAACAGCAAAATGAGCGAAAAATACTTGATAACTCATGAAAAGTATCAAAGTATATAAAATTATATGTTGTTTTAAGTAATATCTACTGCTCTCTTATAAAATTTTCATGTTATTTCTGAGCAATATTCGCAAAATATATTTCTATAGTACATGTAATATTTAATTTAAAATAGCATAAATTTTTGATGATTTGTATTCAAGTTCATTTAAGTGAAAAACATTTTTTTATTTAATTTAATAACGGTTTCAAACAATATTACTTTTTTTTGTTAGAGATTTTTAATAAAGAATATTATTTAGAAGTTGACTGAATACTGTAAGGAAAATGAAATTTCTGTTATGACCGAAATGAAATTGTTATTAAGGAATTTGAAATTAAAATTTATTTTAATATTTTCAAATAATAATTAATTACATATTTATATATTTAAATAAGTTTTCTAAATTCCATTCTATAATAAAATTCACTTTAAGAGATGGCTATAACTTATAAGCGTATCAGACGTGGAATGTAATAATATTTTTAAAACACTCATATCTTTACAATTTATTGATCTTGTATTTTAATATAAAAAGAATAAAACGCAAATATATACTTTTGGTAACATTATAATTGTTAGGGTTAATTGTTTGTATTTAATTAATATTCATGAGCTTGAGGACATCTTAAGTATCTTAGATAATTGGACGTGATATTATGACCATCTGACGATGTGTCGTAGTAAACAACGTCACCCATATGACCACAACAAATTTGATATCCATAATTGTAACAATATAAAGTTACCTAGGTTTACTGTGGAAGTACCTAGACTACAAAAGTATTTCTCTGTTATCACAGAAAACAATGCAGAGCAAACACCGGTATGACCGTATCGGCATGTCTTCGGAAGATGAAGCATCAATTCTTGATCCTGCCCCATCTACTCTACGAGACGGGGGACTGGTCCAAGAACGTAACGAACACCAACCAAGAGGGAATACATCACCAGGCAGGTGCAGAGCACGCACCGCCTGTCAGAATGGCCGTATCGGCGCTACCAGCTTTAATGACTCTCTCTCTCTCTCTTTGAAAACAATGAATTTGTAATAAATCCGATATATACAAATATTTTACTTATAATAAGTTTTAATAATTGCAATTCAACAATTGACTATATCACATCTAATCTGCCCGTGATCACGGTTGCTGTAAAGTAGCCAAAACGTCGGGAGTATGAAGTTTATAGTCAAAAATAAAAACGCGTAGTAAATCCGAAAATATTAGTTTCATTTAATTGACAATATCATTTGATTTCATTGTTTTTTATACAATTTGAAATATATGTACATGTCATGTACTTAACATGTACATTTGTAAATTTCACCAAAACTATATGACAACAAAATTCACAGTGTAGACAAAAATTCAATATATTTGTGAGAAACCTATAATTCATAATTATCCAATTAAATTATGTTCCTTTTGAAAATTCGCTTTATTAATAACTAGCTGACCCGGCGAACCCTATATCTGTTACCTTTTATCTGAATAAAATTAATTTCTTTATTAAGTATAACTGACCCGACAGACAATGGTCTGTCTTCTTACTGCGATTATTGGATTCTTATTGGTATATTAATACATATAAACATTATTCCAAAAACAAAGTGTTTATTATTCTAATACTTTATTCTAACTACGTGATATTACCGCCAGTGACATATTATTTTAACATAAAAGTGAAACATTGTAGTTATTTTCTTTTCTAGTAATTTTCGTATTTTTTTATTACATAAGAACCTTCTCCTATCAATAACAAATACATTATACAACAAAAAAAGAATCAGTGAAATCGGTCCAGCAATTCACGCGTGATGCCGTGACCAAGGGAAAAAAGGTATTAAAATTTTTATATATGTACATACATAGATTGTTCCTCATTTCTCTGAATTTTAGTTTTAGCACTTAATAAATGCCCTGCGATTGAAAATAATTTCCATATGACAATCTTTCTTAAAGTAGCCCAAATGTGTGCAAGTTAAAAAAATCAATCTAAATGCTGAACAATTTCTTTTGCATTGAACTTGACGACAACTTTTGTAATATAATCCCTGCTTCGTAAAGGTCACTAATAGTTTCATACTATGATTTAAGAAAGAAGACACCAGGTTTAGAAGATTATATAAATACAGACAAATCAAATGTTTTTGATAAACCTTAGCATTAAGTGTCATAAAAATATAAATATGCATAAACGTATTAATACATATTTGGTTGGCAACTAGAATATTATCCGGGACTTTATTGTAAATAGTTTTATATGGTAAATTTCATATTTGGTCTGAAATTTGAAAATTGAAATAGTTTAAATATATTGCAATAGCTAAATATGTAGCAAGAATTCCACAGAGGTATATTTCCTTTATTTATATTACACAAAATTACTTAATATTATACAGAGTGGTTAACTAGAGCTGTAACGTTCATACAAATGCAATTTAACTATACCGTGTTTTTAAAACAGCTTATAGAATCTTACTTATACAATAATGAAAATAAAGGCATCTAATATCTTTCTTAACATATGTACATTGGACGTTCTAACTCTTGCTAACCGACTTTGTTGTTGTTGTCCGATATGGCCTGGAGATTTTGAGTTACTATATAAGTATGAAACATATAATAACAGCTACAAAGAATCACTATCAGGATCTGGTTGTCCGATATGGCCTGGAGATTTTGAGTTACTATATAAGTATGAAACATATAATAACAGCTACACAGAATCACTATCAGGATCTGGTTGTCCGATATGGCCTGGAGATTTTGAGTTACTATATAAGTATGAAACATATAATAACAGCTACAAAGAATCACTATCAGGATCTGGTTGTCCGATATGGCCTGGAGATTTTGATTTACTATATAAGTATGAAACATATAATAACAGCTACAAAGAATCACTATCAGGATCTGGTTGTCCGATATGGCCTGGAGATTTTGAGTTACTATATAAGTATGAAACATATAATAACAGCTACAAAGAATCACTATCAGGATCTGGTTGTCCGATATGGCCTGGAGATTTTGAGTTACTATATAAGTATGAAACATATAATAACAGCTACAAAGAATCACTATCAGGATCTGGTTGTCCGATATGGCCTGGAGATTTTGATTTACTATATAAGTATGAAACATATAATAACAGCTACAAAGAATCACTATCAGGATCTGGTTGTCCGATATGGCCTGGAGATTTTGAGTTACTATATAAGTATGAAACATATAATAACAGCTACAAAGAATCACTATCAGGATCTGGTTGTCCGATATGGCCTGGAGATTTTGAGTTACTATATAAGTATGAAACATATAATAACAGCTACAAAGAATCACTATCAGGATCTGGTTGTCCGATATGGCCTGGAGATTTTGAGTTACTATATAAGTATGAAACATATAATAACAGCTACAAAGAATCACTATCAGGATCTGGTTGTCCGATATGGCCTGGAGATTTTGAGTTACTATATAAGTATGAAACATATAATAACAGCTACAAAGAATCACTATCAGGATCTGGTTGTCCGATATGGCCTGGAGATTTTGAGTTACTATATAAGTATGAAACATATAATAACAGCTACAAAGAATCACTATCAGGATCTGGTTGTCCGATATGGCCTGGAGATTTTGAGTTACTATATAAGATGAAACATATAATAACAGCTACAAAGAATCACTATCAGGATCTGGTTGTCCGATATGGCCTGGAGATTTTGATTTACTATATAAGTATGAAACATATAATAACAGCTACAAAGAATCACTATCAGGATCTGGTTGTCCGATATGGCCTGGAGATTTTGAGTTACTATATAAGTATGAAACATATAATAACAGCTACACAGAATCACTATCAGGATCTGGTTGTCCGATATGGCCTGGAGATTTTGAGTTACTATATAAGTATGAAACATATAATAACAGCTACAAAGAATCACTATCAGGATCTGGTTGTCCGATATGGCCTGGAGATTTTGAGTTACTATATAAGTATGAAACATATAATAACAGCTACAAAGAATCACTATCAGGATCTGGTTGTCCGATATGGCCTGGAGATTTTGAGTTACTATATAAGTATGAAACATATAATAACAGCTACAAAGAATCACTATCAGGATCTGGTTGTCCGATATGGCCTGGAGATTTTGAGTTACTATATAAGTATGAAACATATAATAACAGCTACAAAGAATCACTATCAGGATCTGGTTGTCCGATATGGCCTGGAGATTTTGAGTTACTATATAAGTATGAAACATATAATAACAGCTACAAAGAATCACTATCAGGATCTGGTTGTCCGATATGGCCTGGAGATTTTGAGTTACTATATAAGTATGAAACATATAATAACAGCTACAAAGAATCACTATCAGGATCTGGTTGTCCGATATGGCCTGGAGATTTTGAGTTACTATATAAGTATGAAACATATAATAACAGCTACAAAGAATCACTATCAGGATCTGGTTGTCCGATATGGCCTGGAGATTTTGAGTTACTATATAAGTATGAAACATATAATAACAGCTACAAAGAATCACTATCAGGATCTGGTTGTCCGATATGGCCTGGAGATTTTGAGTTACTATATAAGTATGAAACATATAATAACAGCTACAAAGAATCACTATCAGGATCTGGTTGTCCGATATGGCCTGGAGATTTTGAGTTACTATATAAGTATGAAACATATAATAACAGCTACAAAGAATCACTATCAGGATCTGGTTGTCCGATATGGCCTGGAGATTTTGAGTTACTATATAAGTATGAAACATATAATAACAGCTACAAAGAATCACTATCAGGATCTGGTTGTCCGATATGGCCTGGAGATTTTGAGTTACTATATAAGTATGAAACATATAATAACAGCTACAAAGAATCACTATCAGGATCTGGTTGTCCGATATGGCCTGGAGATTTTGAGTTACTATATAAGTATGAAACATATAATAACAGCTACAAAGAATCACTATCAGGATCTGGTTGTCCGATATGGCCTGGAGATTTTGAGTTACTATATAAGTATGAAACATATAATAACAGCTACAAAGAATCACTATCAGGATCTGGTTGTCCGATATGGCCTGGAGATTTTGAGTTACTATATAAGTATGAAACATATAATAACAGCTACAAAGAATCACTATCAGGATCTGGTTGTCCGATATGGCCTGGAGATTTTGAGTTACTATATAAGTATGAAACATATAATAACAGCTACAAAGAATCACTATCAGGATCTGGTTGTCCGATATGGCCTGGAGATTTTGAGTTACTATATAAGTATGAAACATATAATAACAGCTACAAAGAATCACTATCAGGAACTGGTTGTCCGATATGGCCTGGAGATTTTGAGTTACTATATAAGTATGAAACATATAATAACAGCTACAAAGAATCACTATCAGGATCTGGTTGTCCGATATGGCCTGGAGATTTTGAGTTACTATATAAGTATGAAACATATAATAATAGCTACAAAGAATCACTATCAGGATCTGGTTGTCCGATATGGCCTGGAGATTTTGAGTTACTATATAAGTATGAAACATATAATAACAGCTACAAAGAATCACTATCAGGATCTGGTTGTCCGATATGGCCTGGAGATTTTGAGTTACTATATAAGTATGAAACATATAATAACAGCTACAAAGAATCACTATCAGGATCTGGTTGTCCGATATGGCCTGGAGATTTTGAGTTACTATATAAGTATGAAACATATAATAACAGCTACAAAGAATCACTATCAGGATCTGGTTGTCCGATATGGCCTGGAGATTTTGAGTTACTATATAAGTATGAAACATATAATAACAGCTACAAAGAATCACTATCAGGATCTGGTTGTCCGATATGGCCTGGAGATTTTGAGTTACTATATAAGTATGAAACATATAATAACAGCTACAAAGAATCACTATCAGGATCTGGTTGTCCGATATGGCCTGGAGATTTTGAGTTACTATATAAGTATGAAACATATAATAACAGCTACAAAGAATCACTATCAGGATCTGGTTGTCCGATATGGCCTGGAGATTTTGAGTTACTATATAAGTATGAAACATATAATAACAGCTACAAAGAATCACTATCAGGATCTGGTTGTCCGATATGGCCTGGAGATTTTGAGTTACTATATAAGTATGAAACATATAATAACAGCTACAAAGAATCACTATCAGGATCTGGTTGTCCGATATGGCCTGGAGATTTTGAGTTACTATATAAGTATGAAACATATAATAACAGCTACAAAGAATCACTATCAGGATCTGGTTGTCCGATATGGCCTGGAGATTTTGAGTTACTATATAAGTATGAAACATATAATAACAGCTACAAAGAATCACTATCAGGATCTGGTTGTCCGATGTGGCCTGGAGATTTTGAGTTACTATATAAGTATGAAACATATAATAACAGCTACAAAGAATCACTATCAGGATCTGGTTGTCCGATATGGCCTGGAGATTTTGAGTTACTATATAAGTATGAAACATATAATAACAGCTACAAAGAATCACTATCAGGATCTGGTTGTCCGATATGGCCTGGAGATTTTGATTTACTATATAAGTATGAAACATATAATAACAGCTACAAAGAATCACTATCAGGATCTGGTTGTCCGATATGGCCTGGAGATTTTGATTTACTATATAAGATGAAACATATAATAACAGCTACAAAGAATCACTATCAGGATCTGGTTGTCCGATATGGCCTGGAGATTTTGATTTACTATATAAGATGAAACATATAATAACAGCTACAAAGAATCACTATCAGGATCTGGTTGTCCGATATGGCCTGGAGATTTTGAGTTACTATATAAGTATGAAACATATAATAACAGCTACAAAGAATCACTATCAGGATCTGGTTGTCCGATATGGCCTGGAGATTTTGAGTTACTATATAAGTATGAAACATATAATAACAGCTACAAAGAATCACTATCAGGATCTGGTTGTCCGATATGGCCTGGAGATTTTGAGTTACTATATAAGTATGAAACATATAATAACAGCTACAAAGAATCACTATCAGGATCTGGTTGTCCGATATGGCCTGGAGATTTTGAGTTACTATATAAGTATGAAACATATAATAACAGCTACAAAGAATCACTATCAGGAACTGGTTGTCCGATATGGCCTGGAGATTTTGAGTTACTATATATAAGTATGAAACATATAATAACAGCTACAAAGAATCACTATCAGGATCTGGTTGTCCGATATGGCCTGGAGATTTTGAGTTACTATATAAGTATGAAACATATAATAACAGCTACAAAGAATCACTATCAGGATCTGGTTGTCCGATATGGCCTGGAGATTTTGAGTTACTATATAAGTATGAAACATATAATAACAGCTACAAAGAATCACTATCAGGAACTGGTTGTCCGATATGGCCTGGAGATTTTGAGTTACTATATAAGTATGAAACATATAATAACAGCTACAAAGAATCACTATCAGGATCTGGTTGTCCGATATGGCCTGGAGATTTTGAGTTACTATATAAGTATGAAACATATAATAATAGCTACAAAGAATCACTATCAGGATCTGGTTGTCCGATATGGCCTGGAGATTTTGAGTTACTATATAAGTATGAAACATATAATAACAGCTACAAAGAATCACTATCAGGATCTGGTTGTCCGATATGGCCTGGAGATTTTGAGTTACTATATAAGATGAAACATATAATAACAGCTACAAAGAATCACTATCAGGATCTGGTTGTCCGATATGGCCTGGAGATTTTGATTTACTATATAAGTATGAAACATATAATAACAGCTACAAAGAATCACTATCAGGATCTGGTTGTCCGATATGGCCTGGAGATTTTGAGTTACTATATAAGATGAAACATATAATAACAGCTACAAAGAATCACTATCAGGATCTGGTTGTCCGATATGGCCTGGAGATTTTGATTTACTATATAAGTATGAAACATATAATAACAGCTACAAAGAATCACTATCAGGATCTGGTTGTCCGATATGGCCTGGAGATTTTGAGTTACTATATAAGTATGAAACATATAATAACAGCTACAAAGAATCACTATCAGGATCTGGTTGTCCGATATGGCCTGGAGATTTTGAGTTACTATATAAGTATGAAACATATAATAACAGCTACAAAGAATCACTATCAGGATCTGGTTGTCCGATATGGCCTGGAGATTTTGAGTTACTATATAAGTATGAAACATATAATAACAGCTACAAAGAATCACTATCAGGATCTGGTTGTCCGATATGGCCTGGAGATTTTGAGTTACTATATAAGTATGAAACATATAATAACAGCTACAAAGAATCACTATCAGGATCTGGTTGTCCGATATGGCCTGGAGATTTTGAGTTACTATATAAGTATGAAACATATAATAACAGCTACAAAGAATCACTATCAGGATCTGGTTGTCCGATATGGCCTGGAGATTTTGAGTTACTATATAAGTATGAAACATATAATAACAGCTACAAAGAATCACTATCAGGATCTGGTTGTCCGATATGGCCTGGAGATTTTGAGTTACTATATAAGTATGAAACATATAATAACAGCTACAAAGAATCACTATCAGGATCTGGTTGTCCGATATGGCCTGGAGATTTTGAGTTACTATATAAGTATGAAACATATAATAACAGCTACAAAGAATCACTATCAGGATCTGGTTGTCCGATATGGCCTGGAGATTTTGAGTTACTATATAAGTATGAAACATATAATAACAGCTACAAAGAATCACTATCAGGATCTGGTTGTCCGATGTGGCCTGGAGATTTTGAGTTACTATATAAGTATGAAACATATAATAACAGCTACAAAGAATCACTATCAGGATCTGGTTGTCCGATATGGCCTGGAGATTTTGAGTTACTATATAAGTATGAAACATATAATAACAGCTACAAAGAATCACTATCAGGATCTGGTTGTCCGATATGGCCTGGAGATTTTGATTTACTATATAAGTATGAAACATATAATAACAGCTACAAAGAATCACTATCAGGATCTGGTTGTCCGATATGGCCTGGAGATTTTGATTTACTATATAAGATGAAACATATAATAACAGCTACAAAGAATCACTATCAGGATCTGGTTGTCCGATATGGCCTGGAGATTTTGATTTACTATATAAGATGAAACATATAATAACAGCTACAAAGAATCACTATCAGGATCTGGTTGTCCGATATGGCCTGGAGATTTTGAGTTACTATATAAGTATGAAACATATAATAACAGCTACAAAGAATCACTATCAGGATCTGGTTGTCCGATATGGCCTGGAGATTTTGAGTTACTATATAAGTATGAAACATATAATAACAGCTACAAAGAATCACTATCAGGATCTGGTTGTCCGATATGGCCTGGAGATTTTGAGTTACTATATAAGTATGAAACATATAATAACAGCTACAAAGAATCACTATCAGGATCTGGTTGTCCGATATGGCCTGGAGATTTTGAGTTACTATATAAGTATGAAACATATAATAACAGCTACAAAGAATCACTATCAGGAACTGGTTGTCCGATATGGCCTGGAGATTTTGAGTTACTATATAAGTATGAAACATATAATAACAGCTACAAAGAATCACTATCAGGATCTGGTTGTCCGATATGGCCTGGAGATTTTGAGTTACTATATAAGTATGAAACATATAATAACAGCTACAAAGAATCACTATCAGGATCTGGTTGTCCGATATGGCCTGGAGATTTTGAGTTACTATATAAGTATGAAACATATAATAACAGCTACAAAGAATCACTATCAGGAACTGGTTGTCCGATATGGCCTGGAGATTTTGAGTTACTATATAAGTATGAAACATATAATAACAGCTACAAAGAATCACTATCAGGATCTGGTTGTCCGATATGGCCTGGAGATTTTGAGTTACTATATAAGTATGAAACATATAATAATAGCTACAAAGAATCACTATCAGGATCTGGTTGTCCGATATGGCCTGGAGATTTTGAGTTACTATATAAGTATGAAACATATAATAACAGCTACAAAGAATCACTATCAGGATCTGGTTGTCCGATATGGCCTGGAGATTTTGAGTTACTATATAAGTATGAAACATATAATAACAGCTACAAAGAATCACTATCAGGATCTGGTTGTCCGATATGGCCTGGAGATTTTGAGTTACTATATAAGTATGAAACATATAATAACAGCTACAAAGAATCACTATCAGGATCTGGTTGTCCGATATGGCCTGGAGATTTTGAGTTACTATAGAATCGAACGTGTCCAGCGTAACTTCACTCGTTTCCTGGCCTATAAAGATCATAATTGCCCCTACCGCGCCGATTATCGTACCAGGCTGTCTTACTTTAAGCTCGATTCTTTGGAAATACGACGAAAAGTTAGTGACATTAAAACACTATACAAGCTCTTCCACGGTCATACATTGTGCCCCGACATTCTCCAGCAAATTCCTATAAATGTACCAAGATCTATCCCTAGATACCCCATCAAGAATATTTTTATTCGGAAAGGTTCCAGGACCAACGTAGGAAAATATTCTCCCTTAAACAAACTCATGGCATCATACAACGAACTTTCGTCCAAGGGTGAAATCGACATTTTTCTTTCTCAGGATTGCGCAAAATTTGTCGGGAAGTGTTTGGATGCTGTCTATGGCGTGGAACGACGGTAGTAGTTGTTGACAGTTATTTATAGCACTCTACTCCCCCATCGAACTAGATTAAGTAGATTAGTAGATTAAGTAGATTAAGTAGATTAAGTTCATTGATATTGTTACCAGTTTTGGATCTTAGTTTTTAACTTGTTTTAGTCTTGTTCATGTTTTGCTTTGCTTATTTTAGTTTTATACTTTGGTCTGTATCTCAGTGAAAATAAAAAAAAAATAAACAATGTTGTATACACCTGAGGGCTGATCATACTGATTCATACTTATGCATGTAATTCTTGTGTTAGCTATTATGATAAGCCGATGGAGTATCTGTTTATAAATAAATAAATAAATAAAAAATAAATAAAAGTATGAAACATATAATAACAGCTACAAAGAATCACTATCAGGATCTGGTTGTCCGATATGGCCTGGAGATTTTGAGTTACTATATAAGTATGAAACATATAATAACAGCTACAAAGAATCACTATCAGGATCTGGTTGTCCGATATGGCCTGGAGATTTTGAGTTACTATATAAGTATGAAACATATAATAACAGCTACAAAGAATCACTATCAGGATCTGGTTGTCCGATATGGCCTGGAGATTTTGAGTTACTATATAAGTATGAAACATATAATAACAGCTACAAAGAATCACTATCAGGATCTGGTTGTCCGATATGGCCTGGAGATTTTGAGTTACTATATAAGTATGAAACATATAATAACAGCTACAAAGAATCACTATCAGGATCTGGTTGTCCGATATGGCCTGGAGATTTTGAGTTACTATATAAGTATGAAACATATAATAACAGCTACAAAGAATCACTATCAGGATCTGGTTGTCCGATGTGGCCTGGAGATTTTGAGTTACTATATAAGTATGAAACATATAATAACAGCTACAAAGAATCACTATCAGGATCTGGTTGTCCGATGTGGCCTGGAGATTTTGAGTTACTATATAAGTATGAAACATATAATAACAGCTACAAAGAATCACTATCAGGATCTGGTTGTCCGATATGGCCTGGAGATTTTGAGTTACTATATAAGTATGAAACATATAATAACAGCTACAAAGAATCACTATCAGGATCTGGTTGTCCGATATGGCCTGGAGATTTTGAGTTACTATATAAGTATGAAACATATAATAACAGCTACAAAGAATCACTATCAGGATCTGGTTGTCCGATATGGCCTGGAGATTTTGAGTTACTATATAAGTATGAAACATATAATAACAGCTACAAAGAATCACTATCAGGATCTGGTTGTCCGATATGGCCTGGAGATTTTGAGTTACTATATAAGTATGAAACATATAATAACAGCTACAAAGAATCACTATCAGGATCTGGTTGTCCGATATGGCCTGGAGATTTTGAGTTACTATATAAGTATGAAACATATAATAACAGCTACAAAGAATCACTATCAGGATCTGGTTGTCCGATATGGCCTGGAGATTTTGAGTTACTATATAAGTATGAAACATATAATAACAGCTACAAAGAATCACTATCAGGATCTGGTTGTCCGATATGGCCTGGAGATTTTGAGTTACTATATAAGTATGAAACATATAATAACAGCTACAAAGAATCACTATCAGGATCTGGTTGTCCGATATGGCCTGGAGATTTTGAGTTACTATATAAGTATGAAACATATAATAACAGCTACAAAGAATCACTATCAGGATCTGGTTGTCCGATATGGCCTGGAGATTTTGAGTTACTATATAAGTATGAAACATATAATAACAGCTACAAAGAATCACTATCAGGATCTGGTTGTCCGATGTGGCCTGGAGATTTTGAGTTACTATATAAGTATGAAACATATAATAACAGCTACAAAGAATCACTATCAGGATCTGGTTGTCCGATATGGCCTGGAGATTTTGAGTTACTATATAAGTATGAAACATATAATAACAGCTACAAAGAATCACTATCAGGATCTGGTTGTCCGATATGGCCTGGAGATTTTGAGTTACTATATAAGTATGAAACATATAATAACAGCTACAAAGAATCACTATCAGGATCTGGTTGTCCGATATGGCCTGGAGATTTTGAGTTACTATATAAGTATGAAACATATAATAACAGCTACAAAGAATCACTATCAGGATCTGGTTGTCCGATATGGCCTGGAGATTTTGAGTTACTATATAAGTATGAAACATATAATAACAGCTACAAAGAATCACTATCAGGATCTGGTTGTCCGATATGGCCTGGAGATTTTGAGTTACTATATAAGTATGAAACATATAATAACAGCTACAAAGAATCACTATCAGGATCTGGTTGTCCGATATGGCCTGGAGATTTTGAGTTACTATATAAGTATGAAACATATAATAACAGCTACAAAGAATCACTATCAGGATCTGGTTGTCCGATATGGCCTGGAGATTTTGAGTTACTATATAAGTATGAAACATATAATAACAGCTACAAAGAATCACTATCAGGATCTGGTTGTCCGATATGGCCTGGAGATTTTGAGTTACTATATAAGTATGAAACATATAATAACAGCTACAAAGAATCACTATCAGGATCTGGTTGTCCGATGTGGCCTGGAGATTTTGAGTTACTATATAAGTATGAAACATATAATAACAGCTACAAAGAATCACTATCAGGATCTGGTTGTCCGATGTGGCCTGGAGATTTTGAGTTACTATATAAGTATGAAACATATAATAACAGCTACAAAGAATCACTATCAGGATCTGGTTGTCCGATGTGGCCTGGAGATTTTGAGTTACTATATAAGTATGAAACATATAATAACAGCTACAAAGAATCACTATCAGGATCTGGTTGTCCGATATGGCCTGGAGATTTTGAGTTACTATATAAGTATGAAACATATAATAACAGCTACAAAGAATCACTATCAGGATCTGGTTGTCCGATATGGCCTGGAGATTTTGAGTTACTATATAAGTATGAAACATATAATAACAGCTACAAAGAATCACTATCAGGATCTGGTTGTCCGATATGGCCTGGAGATTTTGAGTTACTATATAAGTATGAAACATATAATAACAGCTACAAAGAATCACTATCAGGATCTGGTTGTCCGATATGGCCTGGAGATTTTGAGTTACTATATAAGTATGAAACATATAATAACAGCTACAAAGAATCACTATCAGGATCTGGTTGTCCGATATGGCCTGGAGATTTTGAGTTACTATATAAGTATGAAACATATAATAATAGCTACAAAGAATCACTATCAGGATCTGGTTGTCCGATATGGCCTGGAGATTTTGAGTTACTATATAAGTATGAAACATATAATAACAGCTACAAAGAATCACTATCAGGATCTGGTTGTCCGATATGGCCTGGAGATTTTGAGTTACTATATAAGTATGAAACATATAATAACAGCTACAAAGAATCACTATCAGGATCTGGTTGTCCGATATGGCCTGGAGATTTTGAGTTACTATATAAGTATGAAACATATAATAACAGCTACAAAGGATCACTATCAGGATCTGGTTGTCCGATATGGCCTGGAGATTTTGAGTTACTATATAAGTATGAAACATATAATAACAGCTACAAAGGATCACTATCAGGATCTGGTTGTCCGATATGGCCTGGAGATTTTGAGTTACTATATAAGTATGAAACATATAATAACAGCTACAAAGAATCACTATCAGGATCTGGTTGTCCGATATGGCCTGGAGATTTTGAGTTACTATATAAGTATGAAACATATAATAACAGCTACAAAGGATCACTATCAGGATCTGGTTGTCCGATATGGCCTGGAGATTTTGAGTTACTATATAAGTATGAAACATATAATAACAGCTACAAAGGATCACTATCAGGATCTGGTTGTCCGATATGGCCTGGAGATTTTGAGTTACTATATAAGTATGAAACATATAATAACAGCTACAAAGGATCACTATCAGGATCTGGTTGTCCGATATGGCCTGGAGATTTTGAGTTACTATATAAGTATGAAACATATAATAACAGCTACAAAGGATCACTATCAGGATCTGGTTGTCCGATATGGCCTGGAGATTTTGAGTTACTATATAAGTATGAAACATATAATAACAGCTACAAAGAATCACTATCAGGATCTGGTTGTCCGATATGGCCTGGAGATTTTGAGTTACTATATAAGTATGAAACATATAATAACAGCTACAAAGAATCACTATCAGGATCTGGTTGTCCGATATGGCCTGGAGATTTTGAGTTACTATATAAGTATGAAACATATAATAACAGCTACAAAGAATCACTATCAGGATCTGGTTGTCCGATATGGCCTGGAGATTTTGAGTTACTATATAAGTATGAAACATATAATAACAGCTACACAGAATCACTATCAGGATCTGGTTGTCCGATATGGCCTGGAGATTTTGAGTTACTATATAAGTATGAAACATATAATAACAGCTACAAAGAATCACTATCAGGATCTGGTTGTCCGATATGGCCTGGAGATTTTGATTTACTATATAAGTATGAAACATATAATAACAGCTACAAAGAATCACTATCAGGATCTGGTTGTCCGATATGGCCTGGAGATTTTGAGTTACTATATAAGTATGAAACATATAATAACAGCTACAAAGAATCACTATCAGGATCTGGTTGTCCGATATGGCCTGGAGATTTTGATTTACTATATAAGTATGAAACATATAATAACAGCTACAAAGAATCACTATCAGGATCTGGTTGTCCGATATGGCCTGGAGATTTTGAGTTACTATATAAGTATGAAACATATAATAACAGCTACAAAGAATCACTATCAGGATCTGGTTGTCCGATATGGCCTGGAGATTTTGAGTTACTATATAAGTATGAAACATATAATAACAGCTACAAAGAATCACTATCAGGATCTGGTTGTCCGATATGGCCTGGAGATTTTGAGTTACTATATAAGTATGAAACATATAATAACAGCTACAAAGAATCACTATCAGGATCTGGTTGTCCGATATGGCCTGGAGATTTTGAGTTACTATATAAGTATGAAACATATAATAACAGCTACAAAGAATCACTATCAGGATCTGGTTGTCCGATATGGCCTGGAGATTTTGAGTTACTATATAAGTATGAAACATATAATAACAGCTACAAAGAATCACTATCAGGATCTGGTTGTCCGATATGGCCTGGAGATTTTGAGTTACTATATAAGTATGAAACATATAATAACAGCTACAAAGAATCACTATCAGGATCTGGTTGTCCGATATGGCCTGGAGATTTTGAGTTACTATATAAGTATGAAACATATAATAACAGCTACAAAGAATCACTATCAGGATCTGGTTGTCCGATATGGCCTGGAGATTTTGAGTTACTATATAAGTATGAAACATATAATAACAGCTACAAAGAATCACTATCAGGATCTGGTTGTCCGATATGGCCTGGAGATTTTGAGTTACTATATAAGTATGAAACATATAATAACAGCTACAAAGAATCACTATCAGGATCTGGTTGTCCGATATGGCCTGGAGATTTTGAGTTACTATATAAGTATGAAACATATAATAACAGCTACAAAGAATCACTATCAGGATCTGGTTGTCCGATATGGCCTGGAGATTTTGAGTTACTATATAAGTATGAAACATATAATAACAGCTACAAAGAATCACTATCAGGATCTGGTTGTCCGATATGGCCTGGAGATTTTGAGTTACTATATAAGTATGAAACATATAATAACAGCTACAAAGAATCACTATCAGGATCTGGTTGTCCGATATGGCCTGGAGATTTTGAGTTACTATATAAGTATGAAACATATAATAACAGCTACAAAGAATCACTATCAGGATCTGGTTGTCCGATATGGCCTGGAGATTTTGAGTTACTATATAAGTATGAAACATATAATAACAGCTACAAAGAATCACTATCAGGATCTGGTTGTCCGATATGGCCTGGAGATTTTGAGTTACTATATAAGTATGAAACATATAATAACAGCTACAAAGAATCACTATCAGGATCTGGTTGTCCGATATGGCCTGGAGATTTTGAGTTACTATATAAGTATGAAACATATAATAACAGCTACAAAGAATCACTATCAGGATCTGGTTGTCCGATATGGCCTGGAGATTTTGAGTTACTATATAAGTATGAAACATATAATAACAGCTACAAAGAATCACTATCAGGATCTGGTTGTCCGATATGGCCTGGAGATTTTGAGTTACTATATAAGTATGAAACATATAATAACAGCTACAAAGAATCACTATCAGGATCTGGTTGTCCGATATGGCCTGGAGATTTTGAGTTACTATATAAGTATGAAACATATAATAACAGCTACAAAGAATCACTATCAGGATCTGGTTGTCCGATATGGCCTGGAGATTTTGAGTTACTATATAAGTATGAAACATATAATAACAGCTACAAAGAATCACTATCAGGATCTGGTTGTCCGATATGGCCTGGAGATTTTGAGTTACTATATAAGTATGAAACATATAATAACAGCTACAAAGGATCACTATCAGGATCTGGTTGTCCGATATGGCCTGGAGATTTTGAGTTACTATATAAGTATGAAACATATAATAACAGCTACAAAGGATCACTATCAGGATCTGGTTGTCCGATATGGCCTGGAGATTTTGAGTTACTATATAAGTATGAAACATATAATAACAGCTACAAAGGATCACTATCAGGATCTGGTTGTCCGATATGGCCTGGAGATTTTGAGTTACTATATAAGTATGAAACATATAATAACAGCTACAAAGAATCACTATCAGGATCTGGTTGTCCGATATGGCCTGGAGATTTTGAGTTACTATATAAGTATGAAACATATAATAACAGCTACAAAGGATCACTATCAGGATCTGGTTGTCCGATATGGCCTGGAGATTTTGAGTTACTATATAAGTATGAAACATATAATAACAGCTACAAAGGATCACTATCAGGATCTGGTTGTCCGATATGGCCTGGAGATTTTGAGTTACTATATAAGTATGAAACATATAATAACAGCTACAAAGAATCACTATCAGGATCTGGTTGTCCGATATGGCCTGGAGATTTTGAGTTACTATATAAGTATGAAACATATAATAACAGCTACAAAGAATCACTATCAGGATCTGGTTGTCCGATATGGCCTGGAGATTTTGAGTTACTATATAAGTATGAAACATATAATAACAGCTACAAAGAATCACTATCAGGATCTGGTTGTCCGATATGGCCTGGAGATTTTGAGTTACTATATAAGTATGAAACATATAATAACAGCTACAAAGAATCACTATCAGGATCTGGTTGTCCGATATGGCCTGGAGATTTTGAGTTACTATATAAGTATGAAACATATAATAACAGCTACAAAGAATCACTATCAGGATCTGGTTGTCCGATATGGCCTGGAGATTTTGAGTTACTATATAAGTATGAAACATATAATAACAGCTACAAAGAATCACTATCAGGATCTGGTTGTCCGATATGGCCTGGAGATTTTGAGTTACTATATAAGTATGAAACATATAATAACAGCTACAAAGAATCACTATCAGGATCTGGTTGTCCGATATGGCCTGGAGATTTTGAGTTACTATATAAGTATGAAACATATAATAACAGCTACAAAGAATCACTATCAGGATCTGGTTGTCCGATATGGCCTGGAGATTTTGAGTTACTATATAAGTATGAAACATATAATAACAGCTACAAAGAATCACTATCAGGATCTGGTTGTCCGATATGGCCTGGAGATTTTGAGTTACTATATAAGTATGAAACATATAATAACAGCTACAAAGAATCACTATCAGGATCTGGTTGTCCGATATGGCCTGGAGATTTTGAGTTACTATATAAGTATGAAACATATAATAACAGCTACAAAGAATCACTATCAGGATCTGGTTGTCCGATATGGCCTGGAGATTTTGAGTTACTATATAAGTATGAAACATATAATAACAGCTACAAAGAATCACTATCAGGATCTGGTTGTCCGATATGGCCTGGAGATTTTGAGTTACTATATAAGTATGAAACATATAATAACAGCTACAAAGAATCACTATCAGGATCTGGTTGTCCGATATGGCCTGGAGATTTTGAGTTACTATATAAGTATGAAACATATAATAACAGCTACAAAGAATCACTATCAGGATCTGGTTGTCCGATATGGCCTGGAGATTTTGAGTTACTATATAAGTATGAAACATATAATAACAGCTACAAAGAATCACTATCAGGATCTGGTTGTCCGATATGGCCTGGAGATTTTGAGTTACTATATAAGTATGAAACATATAATAACAGCTACAAAGAATCACTATCAGGATCTGGTTGTCCGATATGGCCTGGAGATTTTGAGTTACTATATAAGTATGAAACATATAATAACAGCTACAAAGAATCACTATCAGGATCTGGTTGTCCGATATGGCCTGGAGATTTTGAGTTACTATATAAGTATGAAACATATAATAACAGCTACAAAGAATCACTATCAGGATCTGGTTGTCCGATATGGCCTGGAGATTTTGAGTTACTATATAAGTATGAAACATATAATAACAGCTACAAAGAATCACTATCAGGATCTGGTTGTCCGATATGGCCTGGAGATTTTGAGTTACTATATAAGTATGAAACATATAATAACAGCTACAAAGAATCACTATCAGGATCTGGTTGTCCGATATGGCCTGGAGATTTTGAGTTACTATATAAGTATGAAACATATAATAACAGCTACAAAGAATCACTATCAGGATCTGGTTGTCCGATATGGCCTGGAGATTTTGAGTTACTATATAAGTATGAAACATATAATAACAGCTACAAAGAATCACTATCAGGATCTGGTTGTCCGATATGGCCTGGAGATTTTGAGTTACTATATAAGTATGAAACATATAATAACAGCTACAAAGAATCACTATCAGGATCTGGTTGTCCGATATGGCCTGGAGATTTTGAGTTACTATATAAGTATGAAACATATAATAACAGCTACAAAGAATCACTATCAGGATCTGGTTGTCCGATATGGCCTGGAGATTTTGAGTTACTATATAAGTATGAAACATATAATAACAGCTACAAAGAATCACTATCAGGATCTGGTTGTCCGATATGGCCTGGAGATTTTGAGTTACTATATAAGTATGAAACATATAATAACAGCTACAAAGAATCACTATCAGGATCTGGTTGTCCGATATGGCCTGGAGATTTTGAGTTACTATATAAGTATGAAACATATAATAACAGCTACAAAGAATCACTATCAGGATCTGGTTGTCCGATATGGCCTGGAGATTTTGAGTTACTATATAAGTATGAAACATATAATAACAGCTACAAAGAATCACTATCAGGATCTGGTTGTCCGATATGGCCTGGAGATTTTGAGTTACTATATAAGTATGAAACATATAATAACAGCTACAAAGAATCACTATCAGGATCTGGTTGTCCGATATGGCCTGGAGATTTTGAGTTACTATATAAGTATGAAACATATAATAACAGCTACAAAGAATCACTATCAGGATCTGGTTGTCCGATATGGCCTGGAGATTTTGAGTTACTATATAAGTATGAAACATATAATAACAGCTACAAAGAATCACTATCAGGATCTGGTTGTCCGATATGGCCTGGAGATTTTGAGTTACTATATAAGTATGAAACATATAATAACAGCTACAAAGAATCACTATCAGGATCTGGTTGTCCGATATGGCCTGGAGATTTTGAGTTACTATATAAGTATGAAACATATAATAACAGCTACAAAGAATCACTATCAGGATCTGGTTGTCCGATATGGCCTGGAGATTTTGAGTTACTATATAAGTATGAAACATATAATAACAGCTACAAAGAATCACTATCAGGATCTGGTTGTCCGATATGGCCTGGAGATTTTGAGTTACTATATAAGTATGAAACATATAATAACAGCTACAAAGAATCACTATCAGGATCTGGTTGTCCGATATGGCCTGGAGATTTTGAGTTACTATATAAGTATGAAACATATAATAACAGCTACAAAGAATCACTATCAGGATCTGGTTGTCCGATATGGCCTGGAGATTTTGAGTTACTATATAAGTATGAAACATATAATAACAGCTACAAAGAATCACTATCAGGATCTGGTTGTCCGATATGGCCTGGAGATTTTGAGTTACTATATAAGTATGAAACATATAATAACAGCTACAAAGAATCACTATCAGGATCTGGTTGTCCGATATGGCCTGGAGATTTTGAGTTACTATATAAGTATGAAACATATAATAACAGCTACAAAGAATCACTATCAGGATCTGGTTGTCCGATATGGCCTGGAGATTTTGAGTTACTATATAAGTATGAAACATATAATAACAGCTACAAAGAATCACTATCAGGATCTGGTTGTCCGATATGGCCTGGAGATTTTGAGTTACTATATAAGTATGAAACATATAATAACAGCTACAAAGAATCACTATCAGGATCTGGTTGTCCGATATGGCCTGGAGATTTTGAGTTACTATATAAGTATGAAACATATAATAACAGCTACAAAGAATCACTATCAGGATCTGGTTGTCCGATGTGGCCTGGAGATTTTGAGTTACTATATAAGTATGAAACATATAATAACAGCTACAAAGAATCACTATCAGGATCTGGTTGTCCGATGTGGCCTGGAGATTTTGAGTTACTATATAAGTATGAAACATATAATAACAGCTACAAAGAATCACTATCAGGATCTGGTTGTCCGATATGGCCTGGAGATTTTGAGTTACTATATAAGTATGAAACATATAATAACAGCTACAAAGAATCACTATCAGGATCTGGTTGTCCGATATGGCCTGGAGATTTTGAGTTACTATATAAGTATGAAACATATACAGTCAATCTGGGTAACTTTGATTCATCGGGTAACTTTGACAGCGGGACCATGAACTAGTTTTGATTATTTTTTCGCATGAAACCAACACTATTCGTATATGTTTATTTAAGATTTGCGATTTTAAATAAGCTTCCTAAATGCACTTTAAAAAAAAGTAAGTTGTGAAAGTAAAAAAACGTCATAACTTCGTTTCTGAATATATCGCGCGAATTTAAGTTTACTTTAGGGTGAATAACTTTTTGAATATTTTGTGATTTTGGTTGTTGATAAGGTAAGTGAGATGTTATACAGAGCCATTTGTGAGTGTACTAACGCATTTTCATGAAAAAATTGCATATAATTAAATCTTATTTTGAAATTTCATGCATAAATATGAAAATACGTATTTTGAACAGTAACTGGGTTACTTTGACACTGTCAAAGTTACCCTTACATAGAAACTAAAATGGTGGCGGAAGAGGTGGTAGAAGAGGTGATTGAAGAATTTGTTGCTAAGATGGAGTTTTGCAACATGCACATCAAAATATATTGAGTTTTCACCTGGAACAACAGTTATGTTTAAAACAGAAGGCACACTGTTTCCAGGAAAAGTGACAAGTTACACATTCCCGTATTATACACTTGTTGTAATGAGTAGATCAACACAAGGTGGTTGGAAATGGCCAGATAAAAGAGAAATTATTAAAATTAGATAGTAAAATCAGTATAAAGCAGCCTGGGCTCTACACGAGTATTATTGACGATTTGCTCTATATGAAGTGGGGAGAATAGACAAGTTATGCTCAAGATTTTACAAAATGTTTGTTTGTTAAAATTATTTTTGCTAGTTTTCTTTATAATTTGAATAAACATGTTAAATTAAAGGAGTTTTTTAAGCGTTTTTGATGGTGTTAAACAATGTGTGTAACATTGCCAAATTTTGTAGACTGATTCTTCATATTTTTTTTTAATATAAGACAAAATTACAAAATGTTTGTTTTATTGTGTCACATGCATCCATTAGTTAATAAATATATTCACCAATGTTACTCAGATTGATAAAAATAATACTTATTACTAGATTTTTATGCTTGGCTCTGTGTGTGTCAAAGTTACCCATCTTAGGAGGGTAACTTTGACACACACAAAATTTAGATTTTATACTATATTGGTATGTTTTATAAACTTTCTGTGAATGTCTAGAGACGGAAAGTAATACAAGAGCACTGATAAAATAAAAACACCCGAGTGATAGGTTTAATTTTTTAAAATATAGTATATATAAATTACAAGATAATAAGTATACAACTAAAAATGTGCTAAATGTGTTTCCTACCTGCCAGCTAATCTCCATAACACCAATATAATCAACAAACAAGAACATTAAACAAGTTGAGTATTATAAAAGTAATAACTTCACTATGGAATCCATTAAGCACTCAATTGAGGACCTGACTGAACACTTCAACGCACGGATGGCTGAATTTCAAAAATCTCTTCAGGGTTCCATCCCAGCCACAAGTCCACACTCCAACATTGCAGCTCAATTTAACACCTTCAGAGTCTTTGTTTTATCTGCATTAGAAGGCCTTCAGATGCAAGTGGAAATATTATCGAAGCAGTACAATCAGCTGGAAATGCGAAGTAGAAGGAAGATGCTTCTATTCCATGGAGTTCCTGAAGACAAAAAAGAAGATTTGCCAGTCATAGTGTCAGGTGTTATATCAGGACATCTTAAGGTACCAGAATTTACCATAGAGAAGCTCAGTCGATGTCAGCGATTGGGTCATTCCTCTAGGGATAAGCCTCGACCTATCCTTGTAAAATTTCATGATGTAGTGCTTCGAAACAAGATCTGGTATTCAAAAACGTCCCTTAAAAGCACAGGCGTGACTCTGTCGGAGTTCCTTACCAAGGAAAGGCATGACCTGTTTATGTCTGCAAGACAGAAGTTCGGTATTTCAAAATGCTGGACGAAGGATGGAGTTGTTATCGTTACGGGGTCTGATGGTAAGCGCCACCGTGTCGTCACAACAGCAGAGCTCAACTCAATCAATTGCAAGCCGAATTACATGCCCTCTGCACCTAAACCTGCTGCTGCTGCTGGTACCAATACTGTAGACTCAATTTCAAAATCGTCCAACTCCACTCAGGTTATGCGAAGTAAGAGAACCATTAAAAAGTAAGTTTTCATTTTATTAGAAACAGTTTGTCTTCGCTCCATTAAATTGTTTTGTTATTTATTTATGCCGTCTATTTTTGTATTATTGTTTAGTTACTATAATTATATTTCGGATAAAATTAGTGTTAATTTTCTTACATGTCGGTATAATTATATTCATATGTTGTTGACTGAATGTATAATGTCAATTGTCAACAATCTGACGTTTGATCTGCGTTTAGTAACTGCATTGATAAAACTAACTATTACCAATGTAGTAGTTATCATTTTTATTTTATGAGGTATTTTTTTTTTTGTTTTTTAGTTTGATTAATTTCTTTTTATTGTTTTTCTCTCTACTTAGTAGTATTTTTTGTTTATTTAATGTTATTAGAATTTGAATCTTAGTTTTATTCTGATTATTGGTTACTTAATGTGGTGCTTTACTAAACACTGATTTATAACTTGTTTTTTTTTTCTGTTTTAATGTTGTAACCGGCTCTTTTGTTTTACTATATTTATGATAAAAATATATATCTTTGTAATTGCTTCTCACAAACAGCTGGCGGGATGGAGGAGTAGCTTATTAGAACTCAATATTTTAGTATTTTGATTTATTTTGGTATTATTATACTATTTAATTAGTTATATTTACATATATATATATAATATTAACTTGTATCTACATTGAAAGTATGATTTCAAACTTTCACAGCGTAAGTGACTCAAATGATAATAGTATCTATCTTAGTGACTCAGTATTATCTAGTGATGATAGTTTTCACAGTGCTTCTCTTCCTCTAAATTCTCTTTTAGACTCAACTTTCTCTGGGGTTTCTAGAAACTTTAATGTAGTGCATATAAATGCGCAGAGTATTCCATCTCATTACCCTGATTTACTGTCCTCCTTTGATAATAAAAATATTCATGCCATTCTTGTATCCGAATCTTTTTTGAAACCAAGTTTACCCTCGACGTCTTACTGTTTGCCTGGCTACCATCTGATCCGGAACGACCGAACAGGTAAAGGTGGTGGTGGTGTTTCAATATACCTCCGCAGTCACATCCCCTTTACAATTTTAAGTAAATCCCCTTCACAATACTCTGAGTCATCGGAACACATCTTTATTGAGGTCTTATTCGGTCATCTCAAACTACTACTGGGCGTATTTTATAGTCCGTCACTCAATATTAATTATTTTAATAATTTTGAAATGCTATTAGATCAATTTACAACCTCTGTCGATCACACGATCATTATGGGTGATTTCAACACCTGCTTGATTAAAGATGACCAACGTGCCCGTCGTTTTAAGAATATAATCAATAGCTGTAACCTTAATGTACTTCCAACGAATGCGACTCATTTTTTTCCGAATTGTTCTCCCTCACTATTGGACTTAATGGTTGTTTCCTCTCTCAGTCATGTTGATGTCCATGGTCAGTTTCCCGCAGAGGCCTTTTCCTACCACGACTTAGTTTATTTATCCTATAGAATTCGGCCTCCGCGAGCGAAGCCAACTATAGTGATGCGGCGTAACTTTCAAAAGCTTAATAACACCAATTTCATGAGCGATTTAAACAATATCGACTGGACTGCTATTTATAATGCCAGCTCAATTGATGAAAAAATTAGCATATTTAATTCCCTCTTAACCGATTTACTGGATGTACACGCCCCATTAAGACCTATTAAGCTTAAGCACTTACCGGCTCCTTGGCTAACTCAGGATATTAGAGCACTCATGGCTAAGCGTAATGCTGCGAAGGCTAAATATAAAAGAAATCCAACTACTGACAACCTGGAAAAATATAAACATCTACGAAATCGTTGCAATAAACTGTGTCGTGACGCTCAGCGTAAGTTTATTGCAAATGCTATTGATAATAGCGGCACATCCAAGGTATGGCGGTTTTTGAAAACGCTGGGCATCGGTCGTCAGCGGGAAACCATTTCTTTTAATATCGAACTTGATGATCTTAACAGACACTTCCTTTCTTCTTCTTCTATAAATATATGTGACAAACTTAATACAATCAACTTTCTTAATACATTGCCTATCCCTGATAACCCTCCTTTCCAATTCAGCTCTGTCACCATTAGCGAGTTAAGGAAGCACATCCTTAGTATTAAATCAGACTCAACTGGCTGTGATGAAATAAGTCGAAAACTGATTCTCCTTACCCTCAACAATATTTTACCTATTTTGTGCCATATATTTAATTATTCCCTGTCAACTGGTACTTTTCCTTCAATTTGGCGCAAAGCCCTAGTGATTCCTATTCCTAAAGTTTCCAATCCCTTGTTACCTTCTCATTTCAGACCTATATCTGTGCTTCCTTTTCTCTCGAAGGTGTTAGAACGTGTAGTCCATTCTCAACTAAGCCAATTTCTCTCTATAAATAAAATCCTCTGCCCTTTCCAATCTGGGTTTAGAAAAGGCCATAGTACAGTTACAGCTCTCACCAAAGTATGTGACGATATACGTAACGGAATTGATAACAAATGCGTAACTATACTAGTTCTTCTAGACTTTTCGAATGCTTTTAATACTATCGCCTATGACATATGCTTGGCAATCCTTGAATCCCTAAACATAGGTTCTATTGATATTGATTGGTTCCGTTCTTACCTATTCAATCGACAGCAATGCATAACGGTAAACAGTAGGTCCTCACCTTTCTTAGATATCCCTTCTGGTGTTCCGCAAGGTGGTGTACTCTCTCCTCTTCTCTTTTCTATTTTCATTAATACTCTCTCTACACTTATCTCTTCCTCCTATCATCTATATGCTGATGATCTTCAAATATATGTTACCGCTCCCTTGGACGGTATCGATGAGGCTGTTGCAAGTTTAAATAATGATTTGGCAAAGATCAGTGAATGGTGTAGATCTTACGGACTCCAACTGAATCC